GCAATTTACCAGAGTAGCTCATAGTCCTGGTTGCTCACTGTGATCACTAGAGAGCTTTAAAAATGCTGCTGTCTGAGATCAAAGGCCAAATATTCTAACTTAATTGGGCTGGAATGGGGCCAAAGTATAAGGAATTTTAAATACTGACTACCTTCCACACATTCCCCAATGATTCTAATGTATAGTAAGGTTTAAAAAAAACAGCATAAATTTTAGCTATCTAGTTTGTATTTACTAAGTTGAAAACACACATGACTGCAAATAATGTATCAATGTATCTAGTGAGTCTCCTAAATAGCTACCAAAATACAATCAGGTTACAAAAGGCTTGTATTAGGAACAAGGGCTTTTACCTACCCAGTCAGTTCATACTCAATGGACGAAAAAAGTCACTGTGTTTCATGAGACTCTCTCTGTGTCTTCTTAGGGTCTCATCTTTTACTATGAGCCCCCACTGTCTAAAAGAAATTTAAAAATTTCCAAACAAATCCCTCTAAGGTGAGAACACACAAATGAATAAGAGAAAACATATCCACCAGGAGGAAAACATGCACAAAATATAAAGGAACTGGTAATACAAAAGGTCAAACATGATTTTTCAACTTCACTAGTGATCTAAGAAATAATAACTTTAAGATGTGATTTTTCTACCAAACCAGCAAGATTTTTTTTAAAAATAAACACTCAGAAAAATATAATGCATAACACTCAAACTTCTGGATGGAATAAGGGACATATTTTCAGAAGAACAGTATTAGCAGTATATGGTCAACAGCTTTAAGTGTTCATACACTTACTCATGAGAGCAAAACTTTAACATCCCAAATGACCAATACTAGGAGAGTTACTTTTACAGTTAGGTAAAATATTCAAAGGTCAAATATTCTACAGAATACACTGCTTTGGCTGAAGGCTCAAAAAGTTATGGTAAGAGAAAAAATAATGTAGAAGCATATCCAGCATGAAAATTCTTGTACTATGGAAGCCAACATAAGCAATGTCAGCAAAAACATAATCATTCAACCTTCTACTTCATATTTTTCTATTTTCAAATATTTCTACAAAGGATTTACTACATTAAAAAAAAACAAAGTAAGTTCATGGCCAGCCTAAACTGCATAGTGAAACCTTGCCTCCAAAAACAAAGTCTTTTTTCTTTAATTCCATGCAACAGTCAATAGATCAAAAACCATACTTTACCATGATATATTTCAGTGCATAAATATATGGTGAATGGAGGCTGAGATCCTACCTCCAGTAGAGTTGGGCCAGTCAGGCCTGATCATGTGGACTGAAAATTCAGGTGATATTAGGCAGCTGCCATCAATAGCCTCCCTGACATTCTCTAAAAAGGGCAATGGCTAAGGCAACTGACTCTTACCTACTATGATAGGTACTGTTTTTGGAACTTAAGTCTCAATAGGCATTTATATGGTAGACCATCAGTCCATACAAAAGCAGTGCAGTATAGCCAAGATAAGATGATGCTACCCTGAAGCTAAAGTTCACTATGTTAACTATTTATGAAAAGTAACAAGTTACTGGAAAAACTTTATTTAGCTGTTCCTGTATGCTGATGTACACACTTGTTCAGAGAATTAACTTATTGAGCTGACTAAAGTCTAATGTCTATCATTCATATCTGTATTAACTAAAATCAAAGTGCCCACAACAGCAGACTTCCAGAGTTGAGTCTCAAAAGTGGTCTCTCTATGAAAAACAATGCTCTAGTCCTATAACTTGAAAATACATAAAGTATATTTAAAAACTCTATGAAGATCAATCGGACACTGGATAAAAGCCTTAAATATTCAAGATAACCACCACACAGTATTTTTACATTAACACAATATAAAATATTATAACTTTACTATAAAATAGTCTGCGTGGGGCCAGGGATTTAGCTCAGTGGCATAAGTGCCTGGCTGGCAAGCACGAGGTCGTGAGTTCAATCCCCGGCACAAATAAATAAATAAATAAATTTAAAATATATATCATCTCTAGGTTCCTCAAATAGAATTACTACCAGAATTACCTTGATATGATACCTCCAAATAGATTCTAACATTTATGTATTTCCAAACACTTCAAGAAAATGGTATGTGTAGCACTGATACTCAGTTAAATTTTTTTTAAAAAGGCAACTTCAAAAACATGTTGCCTGAATATCAAAACAAATTATTAAGTGTGATCATGCATTGTATAAGTCTGCATCATATTCTCAGGCTCTAAAAATGCACTAATTGGTAAGTTATTTAAGACTATATTCAGGAATGTTCAATTTTTAAGCTGCTGCCAAAAGCTTACAAATAAAGCATTTTCTGAATTACTAAATTGGTTGTTTCTTGACAAAATACTTTTCTACTTGGTTTCTACTCTGTATAAACAGCTGGATTCAAATTTCCACATCTAAGAGATTCTGTTAGTCACATCCAGTTTAAGTTCACCTTAATGTCCACAATGTTGCATTCAAATCAGTTCACTACACAAATTTTTTTTTTTTGATACCGGGGATTGAACTCATGACCTTGCGCTTGCCAGGCAGGTGCTTATGCTGCTGAGCTAAATCCCCAGCCCCTCATGACACAATTTTATGAGATAGAGAGGTAAGGGGAAAGGGATGAAGAAAGAATTAAGACGTCTTAGGTATACGAAACAACTCGTGATGAGTGTATTCATCATTATACACCTCAAACATGTAGTAACAATTTTTTTTTTTAAATGAGCCGTTTGGCTGAGCATAGAGATCTACAACTATAATCCCAGCACTTAGGAAGCTAAGGCAGAAGGATCACCATGCAGCGGAGGCCAACCTGAGCCACAGAGAGAGTTCAAGGCCCTCCTGAACTACATAGTGAAAACTTGTCTCAAAAAAAAAAAAAGATACCAACTGTTCAACAACTGCTCTTGCTACAGGTTAAATGTGCCTCCCCCTTAAGCTTGAAGTCATAATGTGACTCAAGAAACTAAAATAAACCTAACTGATACATTAAAAATTTACAATGTCACAACTTTTCAGACATAACAATATGGACAGCTAACCTGAAATTTCTGATATTTAAACTCTAGGTTATTCCATCTTTGCATAATTACAGAAAAGACCTTGCCTTACGTGACTGGCACTTCTTCCAAAACTGCAGTACATGGCATAGATAGTCATATACAGAAGTCATGCATCTTAGCCAACCATTTGAGTTTCCACAGAAACTCTACCTTTGAAACTACATATTTTCAGAAGTCAAAACCTTACTATGTGGCATATAAAACAGAAATTAAATTATATTCGTAATAGTTTACTACTTTGGTATTTGATTAGTACAGTATACAATCAGAATAGGTAAGAAATGAATCACTTGTATTATTTAGAAGTTTTAAACAATGGTCAAGGTAGTCTAGTAAGAACAATCCACACCTATCTATCTATGTAAGCCACACAAAAAAAAAAAGGTTCACCAAGGCATTCCTCATGTCATTTTTATAATGAGGTTCTATCGTCAAAGAAAATTTGGTCACCTATCTTCTCTCTTCCCATAAAAATCAAGAAACTGGGGTTGTACATTAAAAACCTGTTTAGTAAGTGGAATTAAACATTATTAAAGAGATCCATCAAGATCTTGATTAACAGATAAGATATTAAGAATGCATGAGCAATTTTATCAGATGCTAATAAGGTTTTCTTAAAAAATACTGTTAAATGCAAAACTAAAATACACCTAGAACATGCCTGGAACAAAGTCTGCTTTGTTACTTATAACAAATCTCAAAGTCTGCTTCTTTTAAGAGCTTCATTTAAATTCCCTACCCAGTAGTTTTAATACAAGAAACTACCAAAGGAATTCAATACATAGTAAACAGTAAGAGGCATTTCTAGACATTTAAAAACTCATATTTAATACACTACACGGATGAGACTTTTATTATTTTAAGTTGAACACCTATAAAGTGTTTTTAAAACCAGTCATTCTTCAGTTTATAAATTTGATTAGTTATAGGTTTAATTAACCAATATGATTTTATAGAAATATTCTTTGTAAATCAGCAATATGCTGTCTTCATATGTAGAAACAGAAAACTAGGGGGGGAAAGTCACCTATAAAACTTTAGAAAACCAAAACTTCCCCCTCTATTATGCAGTAATAAACAATGCTGTCTTGACACTATGCAACTTATAAAATGTTCCTAATCACATAAGAGTCTCTTAGATGACAATTTACCACTTACGAACCAGTCAGATATCATCTTTCTTCCACTTTAAAGTCTTAAGACTGCTATAATACACAGTATCGAATATGATAATATGCAAAAAGAGGTTATGTCAAACGTAATAAATTATAGACCCTTATAACCAATGAGAACTGAAACAAGCAAATTTCTAACAAACTTTTTAAAAGCTGGAGGACTAACTAAAAATTTTGCAAAAGCCATTCATTTCAATGTGAGTGAAAAGTTAGGATAGAAAAATGTGCAACAAGGATTATTCATTCACTGAGTTAGGGAGAAAACACACAAAAATTACTGTTTTAGGAAGAACAGTTATTATAAAACTTCAGTGAAAGGTAGAATGTTTTCAGACACCATAAGCTCAAGTGCAGTGGCTATATAAGAAAGCAAGGTGCCTATTCCTGAGGAGAACATACTTAATAATAATGCTAACAGTGAGTACTAAATCTAAGCAGTGCTAAAAAGGCAATGATGGGAGCTCAGGTAATGTGTTAACAGAGAAAGAGATTTATGAGAAATTCCATTATTTAAAAATAATCTTGTCTCTATCATTAATCACTTTTTTTTTTCCTGATGTGCTAAAGTGCACTGGAAACCTAAGAACAGGGTTTTTGTTTGTTTTTAAATAATTGGCCATGTCTTGCTAATAGACTGCAGTCTTCAAATTTACAGAGCTGCAGGTCTCCTGGGGTTTTTTCAAGTGTCACTCATCTAACTGAGTCTGACAGTTGCGAAATATCATCAGGTGCTTTACAGTCAGTTTAAAAAACATCCTCTACCTGGTATTTCTGCAGTGATTGTCTTGCTGCTCCCTGAAACCTCTTCATCATCATCTGATGAGCTCGTGCTTGAGTCACAAGTCAGGTCACTATCACTGGTACTGCTGTCCTGTAGCAAGTTATACTTCTTCCTTGCAGCAGCCTCCCGTTTCTGCCTCAGTAGTCTGATCCTTTCCTTATGCTTTTGGCTCCGATGACCTTTAACCTTGGTGACTCGGCCATTCTGCTTATCACTGGATTGCCGATTTTTCTTGGCAGCCATGGTAGATGTTTCACTTTCTGAACGGGACCGCCTAGACTTGCGCCCAACTGTGGCACCAGACACTCCTGAAGGGTCACCTTCTATTGCTATTTCTGGCTGGGAGGGTTCATTCTCTTCTGCAGAAGACAATGTATCTGAATCAGCCAGGTGACCACTAGAGGAAGGGGAAAGCATGCAATGATTAGAGGAGTCACTCTCATAAACCCGGCCAGTTGTTGGCTTGTCACTCTCTGTGGACGCTAACTGAGACTCAGAAGAGTCCCTTCTCAGTTCCATCAATAAACAAGGCATTGAAGAAAGAACTGTAGAATCTGCTACGCCATCTTTTTGAACTTGAGCTTCCAGTTCTACAGATCCATCTTCCTCCTTGGCTGTCTCTTGTTCAGATGTTTTTGTTGGAATTTCAGACTCGATGAGTTCTTCAACTTTTCCCACTGCTTCCTCCATCTTCATTTCAGAATTTCAAGTTAAATCATGGAGCAAAATTTAGGAAATGATAGCAAAGATGCAACAGGAAAGCAACCTGTATAAAAACACAAAATCAATAAACAGAAATAGAAGATTACTTAATCAACACAACATGTCAACTTTCCTAAGTGGAAGCACTCTATTACTGAACTTGCAAGGCTAGCAAGTAACTAAATAAAGATTTTCAGGGGGTTTTTATTTGTTTGTTTGTTTTGGTTTTATTGTTTTTGAGACACGGTCTTAATCAGGTTGGCCTTGAGCACTCTGTAGCCCAGGCTGATCCACAACTTCCAGCAACCCTCTTCAGCCTCCCTCAGCCTCCCAAATTAGTGCTGGGATTACAGGCATGCACCACCACACCCAGCTCAAATTTAGAACCTTAAATTAAACGTGTTAAGAAAGGATCTTCAAAACTCTGACACAGTAAATATTTATGCTTGACTTTAATAGAAATAAAAAGGAATGCTTCAAAATAAACTAGTATGAAAAACATCAAATTACCTGGAATAATTACTTTTATACTAAATCCTCAAAAGGGGTGAGGAAAAAACAAATCCCTATGTTTTACCAAAACTACAAAAAAAAACTTCAACTACATGCAATTGACCAACTAAAGTTATACATATATAACACCTTCAATAGGAGTTGCTCCCTAATGCTCCAGGAGCATTAAGACAAAAGACCAGACTTTGTTGTGCCCTCAGACCTTCCTAGTCCCATATCATTCTAAACACGTTCAATTCAGTTACTCTAGGGTTTAACTAGGCGTTCTACTTCATAAACAACAGCCAACATCAACTACTTTGTGAACCCAAAATATTCTATAAATGACGTTAATGGTCTTTTGAAAAACATCTTACACATTTTACACCATACATTAAATTTAGACCTTAATATCCCTACCACAACTGTGAATGACATAACTATGAATAAACTGAATAAAACTTTTAACCACAAGCGTGTGTGTGGTTTATATGCAGTGCAAATTTCAACGACTAGTGGTTTTTAAAGAGAATGCTAAGAATGTACACGGCAAGTCAGTATCTTGCCTCTTACATGTCATTGTTATAGAAGGCAACTACCTTGATGTAAAAGTAACAGACAGATACAAACACAAATCTTGTGATATAACAGTTGGTACAATATGGCATCTTTATCACTTGAACTCATTGAATGTCCTAATGGTTCAATCTATGGTAAACTCAAAGTAGAAAAATTCTTTTATTTAACAGAGATCTCAAGCCCATTCTTTGATTAATACAAATACATTCTATATACCTTCCTTTTTTCTTATCCCTTTTCAACTGTTGAAAAAATAGGCAAACTGATAAGTTTCCATAATACATTCATGAAAAACAGAACATTCCAGCCACTGGAAGGTTATTAATTTAAAGTAACTCCACGTATAGCCTACTTCATAAGCATAATTTATATCATTACTAACTTTTGAATTAAGAGAAAATAAGAATAAATGCTTTTCCTAATACTGTTCCAAAAGGAATATAACATTTCTGAAAGCCAACAGAGGGAGTAAAAGTTAAACCAACAAACTAAAAGCATCATAAAATTATATTTGCAATACAAACATGAAGTAAAATATTTGTAGATATACAGAAAAATATCCCCAGGTGTGAAAAATAATTTCAAGATTTTCTAACTAATAAAAATATAAAAGTTGATTTTCTGTTGAGAATTTATACGTTCTATAAGTTTTTTCTCACTAAAGTATTTGATAAATATACTTAAATGAAGTTAGTATCAACCATAAAGCACAAAGCAATAATTTCAAATTTTTGAAAGAAGGCAGCATGAGATCTTTTCAAAATATCATAGCTGAAAGTACCTAGGCAGTATCCCTTTTCTCAACTACTGACAAGATGCTGGTCCTTTCAACAAAGCTGAAGCCTTGTTGGGGTGAAGCTGTCATTTTATCTGGAGACTTATTCTGCAACTGGATCACACTGCCGTAGATCTTTGAGCTTGCCTATATGTACCCTACCCTACTGTTGTTCTGCAAGATGATGAGGTAACCTTCCATGGAGGATAAGATCAATACCCTTGTTAAGCAGCTGGTTTCTGGCTTGTTTTGTTTGAAAAGACCATGGCCAATGTCAACCTGGGGAGTCTCGCCTACAATGCAGAGGTAGTAGATCTGCTCCTGCATCTAGAGTTGCATCAGCATAAGATCTTGCCTCACTCTGCTCCTACTGCCCACCTAAGGAGAATAAGCAACGAAACAATCTGAGGAGCCTGGTGAGAATATTGCTTTGGTTTTAGGACTAAATTTCTGTTGTAATGTGTTCTATAAAAAGCTCAACTATGAAAATAAATATTTAAGTGACTGTAACTCTTGATTCTTCAGGAAATAAACTACATGAGTAGCACAAATGAACCTAGACTCCTTTTCCTTGTAAGAAATGACAATATCAATGACTTTCAATATGGTACATCATGTATAAGAGATATAGTGTTAATGAAAGGGAAGGAAAGTGCTCTAAAGGATATAACTGTATGTATGTTTAAGTGTTTAAGATACATAACCATACTACTGTTTGTTAATTTATCAAACAGAATAGTTTGTACTGCCACTGATTGTCTGTCCACTTTGTATGCTTTGATTTTGTAACCTGAACAACAACTTCTAACAATGTAATTTATTAACTAGTGATTTCTTAACTTTTATTTTTTTTAATTCTGTATTATTGCTACACTTTTTTCTGTTGCTTTTTTCTCTAAATAAAAAATAAATTAATTAGAATGGAAATTTTTTTAAAAATATAGTACATCAATCATCTCAATTCTCTTAAACGTAAGTATTAAATCAGATTTAATTTCTGCTGCCCAAATAAATAACCAGTATTGTGGTTAAAACCACTCAAACATGACATCTTGTAGATCATCATGTTATGTCCAAATAATGTGGCCATTAAGAATGAGAAAGTTCAGACTAAAGGCGGATACAGTTTACTGGCAAAGGTCTAGCCACAATATCCTGGGTTCCATGGGAGTGCGGGTAAGGAATGGAAAGCTCTTTTATAGAGATATGTAACAATCCTCATGAAAGTTCCAATGAACAAAAAAGACACATTATATTATTTGTGTGTAAGGGAAATTATATTTATGTGGGAATGTCTAGAGAAACATACAATCTTTGGAAGAAACAAGAAACTGGTAATATAAATTGCTTTGGGAAGGACAATGAATGAAGAATAGGAATAGAAGATATGGTATTGTATGCAGCTTTGCACTTCTTGAATCTTCTGTCACATGTAAGTATTATGTTTCAAAACTTTACTCTTGTCTTCTGAAGAAAATGAAACAATGATTTTTTTTTTCTTTTTCTAGTCATGATATGTGACTACTGCTTAGGTGAATTTTATCAGGCATTCTCCCTGTAGAGTTTTATTATAAATAATATAAGGGGAAGAAAGTCATCAAAAGTGGAAACCAAAGTTATCACAAAACTCCCTATAGTATAATTAAAATGAAGTCGTCTGAACACAGAAGAAAAGATCCATAGTATTTAATTTTTTCCAGATGACCAGAGTTGGACTGTATAGTTCACTACAAGCACTTACCATTCTTGAAGTTCTGTAAGTGACAAAAGGAACAAACCAAGAAAACAGAACATGACATTGTGGTGCAACCCTGTCATCCCAGTATTCTGGGAGGCTGAGGCAACTCAGAGAGACCTCAAACTAAAAAGGGGGTGGGGATTTAGCTAAGTGTGAAAGCCTGGGATTCAATCCCCAGTAGTACCACCAAAAAAAAAAAAAAACCCTACCTGGGTCAGTTCTTCAAACAACCAGATTACTGGTTTGGGTCTGGTGAGAAAAGTTAGGGGACAAGGATTGTCAAGTGGCTGGCAGTAGATGATAAACTAGTTACATGAGATGACAAATTCCATCATGTAAATAGAACAAGACTCTCAACCTCCTGATTTAATGTTTACACAGTGAAGCACTAAGTAAGTATACAACAGTATTTTCTCCCATGTTGTTCTTCCCTCCAATCTAAAGATAACCCCTTCCTACATGGGTTTTGCACTCATTCTTTTTCATCTCCTTATGAACTTACATTAACGACTAGTCCTTGGCTGTTACCTACTTCTTACACTCAACTGGGCCACTCATTCATTTCTAAAATCCTCTTCCTATCTACCCTTTTCAACCTCACATCTCTCTCTCTCTCTCTCTCTCTCTCTCTCTCTCTCTCTCTCTCTCTCTCTAGGTAGGACTCTTCTTTGACAGGTTATTTCACTACTTTGTGGTCAAGAGATAACAGATCTGAAAAGTATCACTGGAACAATCATTAGACTGCTCTTCCCAACACACACACCTATGGGTCAAATGCGAGCCACCTGGTGGAACATGAGACTACACATTAGTTTCTTTTCTATCATGGTATGGCACAGCCACTGAACAAATACAAAATAACCTATCCACTATTCTAAGAATCCTTACACACTCCCCTGTAAAGGCTATTTCTCCACAGCAGCACTCATTAAATTCTCTTGTTATAATGGTTTTAGATAACAGAATAGCTCGTAATTCTTTACTTGCTGAACAAGGTACAGTCTGTGCCACTGTTAATACTACATGCTCTGTACCTAGATAAATTCCCATAGGGAAGCTGAGGCTCAATTACACAAAATAAGGGAACAGGCTACTACGACACGTTTCAGTCCCTATGCAAGGAATTCTTCAAAGCCCAAGCATTTCAGAGAAGCCACTCACACATCAACACTTGAAAACACTGTCAATTCTTGCAATAAATGCCAATATTTAATGGTTTTAGTTTCCAAACAGCTTGCATATACTTTTTTCCCCCGTTAAAGACAGAGTCTCACTATGTAATCCAGCCTAGGTGAACTCATAGCAATCCTCTGCCTCAACTTTCCAAGTGCTGAGATTACAGGAATATGCTACCACATGTGGCCTACATGCACTTAGTTTAAAAGGCATTTCTTAAAAGGCTTCCTCTTTGCCTCAGTCTCCTTGGATGTCTCCATGGTCCACCAGAGCACACATACCCTAGAACGCCATAATAATAAAC